GCACAGTTCTTGGGTGCAGTGTTGGTTTCACACGCACTTCAAATGTATACTCCATTGAAATCAGTGGAGAGTTGTACTAGGTGGGATGTAAAGCCAACATCCCACTTCATCCTATGGTATCTCCTACCTGTTGAGTTCTCCCTCTGAAAGGTCCTCAAAATTGTATGCTCTTTCTCTTTGGTAACTGCAGTTTTGCTTCGCTACTTTTTTTGGATAAATTGAAACAGTAGTATATTAAAACTATTATGTGTTGTCTTGGCTTTAACAAGATTTTTTTACAGAAAAGTTAAAAGTTTATAATCACACCAGTACAGTCTGAGAATGAGTTTACAGAATTTTCTGACATGCATCAGTGAGTTTGCTTCAAAGTCAACAAGGTGCAGAGCTGGATGATCACAGCAGGCCAAGCAGCATCATAGGAGCAGGAAGGCTGACATTTTGGGCCTAGACCCTTCTCCTGAAGAAGTGTCTAGGCCCGAAACGTCAGCCTTCCTGCTCCTATGATGCTGCTTGGCCTGCTGTGTTCATCCAGATCTACGCCTTGTTGTCTCTTTTAAAAGTTCAATGTTATGCACCTCTCAAGTTGATGATGAGCTGCCTTCTTAAACGGCTGTAGGTAGACCCACAATGCTGTAAGGGAGGAGTTTCGGAATTTTGACCCAGAAACACTGAAGGAACAGAAATATATTTTCCAAATCAGGATGCTGAGTGGCTTGGAGAGGAACTTACAGGTGGTTGTATTCCCATGTATCTGCTGGTCATGTCCTAGATGAAATTGGTCTAGGGTTTGGACGATGCTATTCGCTATTTAAGGATTTTTGTGGTGAATTTCTGCAGTACGTCTTGTAGATGATACGCACTGCCACTACTGAACGTCGTTGGTGGAGGAAGTGGATGTTTGTGGATGAGGTGCAAATCGAATGGGGGTCTATTTTGTCCTAGATGATGTTGGGCTTCTCGAGTATTGTTGGAGCTGCACTATCCAGGCAAATGGAGAGTATTCCATCACACTCCTGACTTATGCCTTGTAAATAGAAGGTGGACAGGTTTTGGGGAATTAGGAGGTGAGTTACTCACCGTACTATCTCTAGCCTCTGACCTACTTGTTGCTACTGTATTTATAAGTTGAGTCCAGTTGAGTTTCTGGTCCATGGTAATCCCCAGGATGTTGATAGTGAAGGATTATTACTCTGGAATATGCTGGAAGGGTCACAAATTGGGGCTCTAACTCTCATTCAAGTCAGGAAGTACCAATGAGGGACTGCTAAGGCTGTCAGTTCCAGTCGTAGGCTCTGGGGGACTTCATAGATTGATTTGATTAAACTGAACATTTTGATAAGAATGACTAGTTTTAAAAAGTGTAGAGAAAAGGGGCATTGTTTGCTGCTTACTAAAACTGCCACTGGCATTCCACCACATACATCATGAAGCAGGAGATTTGAGCTCTTTCCCTTGATTTCTCTTGTTAGTTCAGTTGATTTGTTTGGAGATTCATTGGGTGCAGATATTAGCTGGTGTTAGCACTATCAGTAGGTTCTACTCTGGTTTTGGTAGATGTCTAAATTAAATTTAATTGAACTAAATCATATAGACAGTTGCTACAGGATTAATTTGCATGATTCACTTCACTATTTTGCCACTTTCAGCTGGGGAGACATGGGGTAATATTAACTAAGTCTGTATATGTGTGAGCCTTAATTGAGTGTGACCCTGCTAGTGTAACCACTCTGATTATGGGCGTTGTCTTTGTAGCATTTTCTTCAGTGGTGAGAATGGGAGGGAAGCTTAACTGCAAACATGTTTCAAGTACAGTGGCAAATTATTTTCGACAAGAGCTTGATAAAAGTGTTCAGGATTCTGTCTTGGCATAGTCTTTCGAGTACTTAATTTGTCAATTTATTTATATTCTCATCTATCATTTTTATTTTGTCTTTGACCCTGAAATGTAGAAAATTTGATCTTGCAATCAATTAACAGCAATGTTTGTGATAATTGAATATGCATACGAATTCAACCTCTGTCCAGTTTCACCATTTCATAAGCTCTTGGCTGAGCTGATTGTGGCGTCAACTCCACACTCATTTACCCCTATTAAACTTTAACTCTCCTATTTGTCATGAATCCATCCAACTCTACGTTAAAAATATTCAGTGACCTCACTTCCACTGCTGTTTGGGAAAGACAGCACCAAAGACTTACACCCCTCTGAGAGAAAAGATTCCTCATCACTGTCTTACTTAGGAAAACCCTTATTTTAAATTGTATTTTGTACATTTAGTCTCTAACACGAGGGAAACAGCTTTTACCCTGCCAAATCCTTTCAGAACCGAATGTGTTTCAATAGAATTACCTCTCCTCTTCCTAAGTACCAAATGAGTTCAGGCCCAGTTTGTCCAATTTGTACTTACAGAATATTCTCTCATCCAAATGAACCTTCGCTGAACACCTTTTCAAGACATTTACATCCTTAAATAAGGAGCCTAAAAACTTCATTGTTCCTAAGTGGTGGCCCCACTGACATTCTATGGAATTGTAGTAACAGATCCTTACTTTTCCATTCTATTTCCTTTACAATGAGAGCAACATTCCATTTGCCTTCATCATCTCTTTCTGTACCTGCATATTAATTTCTTTGGATTCACATATCTGGACACCCAGATCCCTCTGTAATACTAAGTTTAGAATTTATCTCCATTTAAATAATACACTGCATTTTTATTCTTCCTGCCAAAGTAGACTAGTTTATATTTTCTCACATTATACTTCTTTATGCTCATTCTTGGATTCTGATCAGTCAGTCAGTCTCTGTCCAAACTAATATGTTGCCTCTGATACAAGGGGCTCTTATTTTACAGAATAACCCTTTGATATGGCACTGATCATAATCCTTAATTTTTTAATAGACTCAAAGGATGCACTAGGCATATTTCACCATTGAGCATTAGTTCCATGCTTGAGTTTACTTTTGCACCTCACCCAAATCCTATTCCTTAAACAGGGATGTGATAGGTTGTAAGCAAGTTACGAGTAATACAGGATATCACAAATAGTCCTTTGCTAATCTAAGGCGTGCTTTGAATCTCTGGTGATTTGAACTTTGCATAAATAAAGGTATATTTGGTGAAAAGACCATTTTTCTTTTTGGACTGTGGACTAAAATGGGAAAAGACATTATTTTAAGCCAACGAAATTGTGCAAAAAATTGTTTGCAGTTTTTAAAACAAGTTATTGGAGCACATGAAGCATTTTTTTTATAATGTTATCTTATTGTAACAGTTGAGGAAGGAGTGTAGAGATGTCAGCTCAGAGATGGTAAGAACTGCTGATGCTGGAATCAGAGATAACACAGTGTGGAGCTGGAGGAGCACAGCAGGCCAGACAGCATCAGGGGAGTAGGAAAGTTGACCTTTTGGGTCGGGACCTTTCTTCAGAAATGGGGGAGGGAGTAGGGAGCTCCGAAATAAATAGAGGGGGAAGGTAGGTGGGATGGTGATAGGTGAATGCAGGTAGGCAGTGGTGGGCATTGGTCAGTTAGGTGGGAGGGAAGATGGACAGGTGTCAGGTCAAGGAGGCGGGGATGAGAGGGAGGGTTGGTGATGGGATGAGGCCGGAGGTGGGGAGATTTTGAAGCTGGTAAAGTCCACATTGAGACTTTTGGGTTGTAGGCTCCCAAGGCAGAATAAGAGATGCTGCTTCTCCAGTTTCCTGGTAGCGTCATTGTGACACTGGAGGAGGCCCAGGATGGACAGGGAGTGGGAGTGGGAGGCGGAGTTGAAATTGTTCACGACTGGAAGGTGTTGTCATTTGTCGCGAACAGAGCGCAGGTCCTGGAGTATGCTGTTTTGGTCTCATCTGAGAAAGGATGTTGTTACTGTAGAGGGAGAACAGCGAAGGTTTACCAGACTGATTCCTGGGATAACAGAACTGCTAAATGAGGAGAGATTGAATTGGTTAGGATTATACTTGCTGGAGTTCAGAAGAATGAGGGGTGATTTACATAGAAACCAATACAATTCTAACAGAGCTAGAAGAGGTAGATACAGGAATGATGTTCCTGATAGCGGCAGAGCCCAGAACCGGGAGTCACAGTCTGAGGATATGGGATAAACCATTTCGGACTGAAATGAGTAGTGCGCCTGTGGAATTTACTATCCCAGAAAGCAGTCAAGGCCAAAACACTATTCAATTTGAAGAAAAGGATGGACATAGCCCTTGGGGCTGAAGGGATCAAAGGATGAGGGTGAAAAGCAGGAATAGACTGTTGAGTTGGATCAACAGCCTTGGTCATAGCCAATAGTGGAGCAGGTTTGAAAGGCCAAATGGCCTACTCCTATTTTCTATATTTAAATCCTGACTTTTTACTGTTTTTGCTTATGTTATACAGCTAACGATTAGCAATTTGTGTGGTCTACCTTTGCTGTTGGTTAAAGACTGTTTGATTACAATACATAGTTATTTTCTTGTTAATGGAAAAAAACCTGGTGTGCATGTCCCTTAACATGAAGTAGTTAAAATTAGGCAATTCATTTGTTGAATCAACTTCTGCATTTGTGATGACTCGGAAATAGTTGGGTTTGATTTAAAGTGTATTATCTCCAATGAGTTATGACATTATCAAGTGACAGTCAGCAATATGTGACATTGTAAGCTAGAGACTTATTGCAATATATGAGTGGTCAAGAGGTGTTTTGTTCTATTCACACTGCAGGAATCTTGGATAAGGCTAGTTCATTGGGCAGGAAAAGTGCAATACAAATCATGGAGGAGCTAGAATGATCAGAGTTGTTGAACTCGTGAATATTGTATATTTAAAACAAAATGCCACAGCTCTACATTATGCTTCAACTGTTTAAAATTCTGCTATATCTTGCTTTGTTAGACCCAACGATTTTTGTAATACCTGTTAATCTTATTCTTTATTGTCAAAAGTACGCCAACAATTATCTTGCCTTTGATTATTTTTAAGATTGCTAATTTCTCTTACTTTATCTCCCTTCTAGAGTTCTATTGAACTATTTGTGAACAGGTTAGACTCGGTGGAATCTGTCTTGCCTTATGAGTATGCTGCGTAAGTAAATTAATTTAAATCTTTTGGATACTTCATTTTTTTGACATAATGCAGTATATTTTCTAGATGAGTCTATATGCCCAAATATTTTAAAGACTTTGCATCATAACTGAAGATATGTCAAGGTGGTAAAATTACAGGAGACGAGGTCCTGAAAGTGTTTCATCCTCCTACAGATTTGATTTCTGTCAATTGGAAGAGGAAAAGCGTCCCTCGGAAAACCTTGGACAAGTCTTGTTTGGTGAGAGGATTGAGTCATCTCCATACAAGGTATGAGTTTACCTAAGTGAAATGATGTGGGTTTTTGGAATATTGTCTGTGCTGCTGTTTTTAAGTAATTGATGTAAAGATGTTTCATTCTAAGATATAGAAGTAACTGAAGCAGTGGATAGCTTAAAAATACTTCTTGTTTGGTTTCCTTATTAAAGTAGTTGTAAGTTACACAAAAACTCCAAATTTAATCCTGGTTTCTTGTAATGTTTGCTGATTTCAGGCAACTGTAATGTTCATAGTGACTTTGGGTTAGAGAGAAGAACATTGTCCAAGATTACTACAGATTTTGCTCATTGTTAACTCCTTTTGATTTTTGAAATGAGCTGCCATAAACCTTTCTCTAGACGATTGATTAAGAACGCTAAATACAGGATTCCTGCCTATTTCCAAATCAGCTAAACTGGATAATAGTGATTGCACTGAAATATCAGAAAATTATACCAAATTTAAAAATTCAAAGTAAAAGACAAAACATAAAAAGTTTTTTGTTTTGTAAATACGGTTTTCTCTTTTTTAAAAGAAATGCTAATATGCTACATTTCCTGGGTGCCTCACCAGTTTCCCTTGAAAAGGAGTACTAGCTTTGCAAATTCAAGTCCATTTTCATCAGACGGCTTGTTGGGAAGATACTTTACTATTGTAGTTTGCAAAAACTTCCTTTTGAGAAAGTACAGTCATACAGCGCAGAAAAGGCCCTTCAGTCCATTGAGTCTGCATCGACATAACAACCACTAAAGGTGCACTAATCCCAATTTCTTGTACTTGTCCCTTATCCTTGAATGGTATGATATTTCAAGTGCTAATCCAAATATTTTATAAAGGTTGTATTGTATCTGGCGTCCACTACCTTCCCAGGAAGTGCATTTTAGATTCTCACCACCTGCTGAGTGAAAAAGTTTTTTCTCAAATTCCCTCTGAATCTCCTGCCCTGTACCCTAAAACTATGCCCTGTCATGATTAAACGAAGGGGAACAGCTGCTCTTTATTCACCCTGTCCATACCTCATAATCTAATACATCTTAATCATGTGCCGCTCAGCCTTATCTGCTCTAAAGAAAACAATCCAAGCCTGTCTAGTCTCTCCTGTAGCTCAATTTATCCATCCCAGGCAATATCCTGGTGAACTTCCACTGTACCCCTTCTGGTGCTATCACATCCGTCTTGTAGTGAGGTGAGCAGAACTGCACACAATACTCCAGCTGTGGGTAAACCAACTAACTCTGTACAACTCCAACGTTACCCTCCTTACTCTTATACTCTATGCCACGACTGATGAAAGCAAGAGTCCCATTCACGTGCTTTGCTGACTTCAGGGATTTGTGAATAACTACCCAAGATTCTTCTGTTCCTCTGAGCTACCCAGTGTCCTGCCATTCATTAAATACTCACTCATCTTGTTTCTTTTTCCAACGTGCATCACTTCGCACACATCAGGGTTAAGATAGCGGCGGCAGAATAGGCAGTGTCTGGGCTCAGCCTGGGGCTCATGCTTTCCATCCACTTCTCTTTTTGCTGCTTTTACTCGATCTTCTCTCTTTTTTTTAAATTTCTTAGTTTTTTTTGACTTACCTTGTGGAGGGAGCAGCAGTGATGGCCTCGGGCCATTGCAGCAGCTGAGAGCCTGAAGTGGGATAGTCAGCCGGCCTGGAGCAGAGCAGGATGGTCAGTGGTCAGCAGGCCCAGAGTGAAGCGGGCAGTCATCCATCCTGGAGTGGAGTAAGACGGCCAGCGGTCAGTGGGCCTGGAGCGGAGTGAGATGGCCAGTTGTCAGCATCCTGGAAAGGAGCGGGCAGTCAGCAGGCCTGGAGTGGAGAGCAGTCAGTGTGTCTGGATTGGAGCTGAGCGACCAGCAAGCTGCTGGCGGTCAGTGGTCTGGGGCCCAGAGCGGGGCAGTCAGCAGCCTGGGGGCCCGGAGACGAGCTGAGTGGCCAGTAGGCTGGAGGCCTGAAGCAGAGGCGGCTAGCTATCAGTGGATTGGGGCCTGGAGTGGAATGGTCAACAGGCTGGGGGCCTGGAGTGGGGCTTCTGGTAGTTGGCAGACTGGGATCTGGTGCGGTCAGCCTATCGCAGATGGCAGTCAGCAGCTTGCAAGCCCGGTTGGGGTCAACTCAGCGTCAGGGAGAGTAAGACCATGTGTGGAAAGCTCCCAGTGTGGAGCGACAGCAGGCTATAGAACGACTGTAATATCTATCTTTTAAATTTATTACTTTGTTTTCCTAATTTATACTATGAAGACCTATAATGTAGAACTTTTAGCTTTTTTCTTTATTTCTGTTTTTGTATTCAGTCTATTTTAGTACCTAAAATTTGTAACTAGGTACTTTGTACCTAAGATGAAGCTATGTGTGGTGACATTGTGCACTTTTCACTATACTTCTGTACTTCTGTACTTGAGTACATGCGACAATAAAACCTAACTCTAAATGCCATCTGCTACTGCTTTGTCTATCTAAGCAATCCATCTCTATGTTCCTGCAACCTACAACCACCTTATAGAGTCATACGGCACAGAAACAGATCCTTCGGTCCAACTAGTCAATGCCAAACGTAATCCCAAACTAAACTAGTCCTACCTGCCTGCTCTTGGCCCATATCCCTTCAAACCTTTCCTATTCATGTATCCATCCAAAAGACTTTTAAATGGTATACTTGTACACGCATCCACCACTTCCTCAGGAAGTTCATTCCACATCTTCTTCACTATTAACCACCCTACCAATCTTGGTGTCATCTGCAGACTTGCTTAAACATTCCTCCCACATTTTCATTTATGTATATAAATGAAATATATTATGTACAAATAACAAGCAATAAGGGTCCCAGTACTGATCCTTGTGGTACACCGCTCGACCTCGGCCTCCAGTCATTCTAACAGCCTTCTACTACTGTGCTTTGTGTCCTATTACGAAGCCGGTTTCTGATCCATCTCTTCAGATTTCCCTGAATTCCATGTGTTTTAACCTTCTCAATCAGCCTTCCATGAGGGACATTGTCAAAAGGTTTGCTAAAATTTATATAAAAACTTCCACAAATTTGATCACATTTTCGAACATTTCTGACAAGTTTGTTAGCCATGTCCTCCCGCTGATAAAGCCGTGCTGACTTTCCCTAATTAATCTATGCCTTTCCAAGTGGATAGTAATTCTGTCCTTCAGAATTTTCTCCAATAGTTTGCCTACCACTGGCATGAGACTCACTGATCTGTAATTTCCTGGTTCATCTCTACCACCTTTCTTGAAAAATGGGACTACATTAGCCGTCCTCCAGTCCTCTGGTACTTGCCCCATGGCCAGAGGAATTAAAAATTTATGTCAGACCCCCTGCAATTTCCTGCCTTGCTTCCCACAGCAGCCTCGATTCAGTCCTTTTGGGCCTGAATTCCATATCTATGTTCTCCTTTTCCAGAGTGAAGATGGAAGAGGAGTATTCATTTAACACCCTTCCAATATCCTGCAGCTTCACACACAGGTTGCCCCCTTGGGCCTGTCTTTCCCTGGTTAACCTCATCCCTCTAATGAATTTATAAAATATTTTAGGATTGTGCCTAATCCTGTTTGCAAGTCCTTTCTTGTGCCCCGTTTTTGCTCTTCTAATTGCTTTCTAATTTCCCTCGTGCATTTCCTATATTCCTCTAGGGCCGCAGCTGAATTGTTTTCTTTGCACTTGTTAAAAGCCTTTCTCTTCTTTCTTTTTCATTCCTGAATTGTCCCAGACATCCAGGGATTTCTGAACTTATTGCTGTTACATTTCTCCTGTACTGTCCCCAGCTCCTTTGTGAATGCTCCGCACTGTTCTGCTGTAGACTGAACTGCAAAGAGATTTTCCCAAGCAACTTTGGTCAGATTCTGCTTTATTTTAATAAAATCTGCTGCGTACTTCTTCCCTCAACCCCACCCCCACCCCAAAAATCCAAATCCAAGCTGTCTTTTGCAGGCCTTCTTTTTCCTTGTTAATAACAAGTTTAAACCGTACCATCTTGTGGCCGCTAGCACTAAAAGTTCCTACACATCTTGTCAACTGCCTTCCAGAAATTTAAATGCACCACATTGACGTTTTTTTCCACATTGCTTCCTCAAAGTTCCTCAAAGAACTTTCACAAATTAGTCAAATATGATTTTTATTTTAGAAATTATTGACTCTGCCTGATTGCATTGATATTTTCAAAGTACCTGCCATAACATTCTTGATGATAGATGCCTGTATTTGAAGATGTTGTGTAAACCCCATTTACTTTTGTCTTCAATTGCTCTGTTTTCTCACTTGCTATAAATTTAATTGGTGTTTTTTGGTTCCTTTTAGTGTAGAAATACAACAGGGAAGTGTTTAGAGATAAGGAACCACTATGATCCTTTTCTTTGTCTTTGTTGCACAACTCCCAGGTGCATGATGATTCAGCTGGATGCAGCAAAGCAATTTCCAATATTGTTACAAGTTTTATATTTGTTTCTCCATGCAGTATTTTCTGGCTCTTTTAATTACCTTTTATTCTATTTTCTCAGTGCTGCTCTGTACTTTTTTATTTTATCTATTTCCTAGTATTCTTTCCTGCAAGCGTACATTTTACCAACGTGCGTTCATCTTTAGCTTAGGAAAGCATTCCAAAGCACTTCCAAGAGTGTTTTGTGATAAATTACCATTGAACTGAATAAGAGATTAATGGTAATGAAAGCTTAATTAATAGCACATACTTAATTAATTTTGCTAGGTGCCAGTGTTTGCTAGTAATGAACTAGTGTAGACATATATAATATTTGATAAGGTGTCCTCATATGTGGAGTTGCATGCTTTCAGAAGTTTTTTTTTAATTCTGCACTGTTTTGTATGATGAGAATAATCAACAATTAGTACCAAGATTATGATGTTTGAGATTCTTGCTTTGCAACAGTGGACCTCGGGGTTATCCTAGTTGTTTACATTTTACCCTTTAGCCTCCCCAGAATGTACTCCAGAAAGGTCAGAGTAATTTTTGGAAGTTAGGGGAGATGAGTGAGGAGGGG